AATAAATAAATAAATAAATTGTGACATGAAGGTAAATAAAAGTGATTGACTGCCACTTCCAGGTGATGGTGAACTTGAAGGAAAAGAGAGAGAAATAGATTCATATTTTCAGGAGGTTCATATTTGTTTTATAATTTCTAAATTAAAAAAAGAGGGGGGAGGGAATGAGGATTAAATTATTTTGTGGCTACTCCTCCCTGCTATAGATGTCGAATATTTTTTTGTTTTCCAGAATTATTAATATAGAAAAGAAAAAAAAAAAACACAGTAAGACTTTGCTTCGAGAATAATTGCCTCCATGCAGCCAGAAGCATGGCTGGCCCGCACCGTGCGTGCTATACAGAGATTCTACCGTTTTGCAGCGCCGCCTGTCGGCCGAATCTGTCATTGTCGTCTACAAGTACAACCCAGGGCTGTGATAGGCTATCTCTTCTCCCTTTTCCCCCCGTCTCGCTGCCTGTGTTTGCCTGCGGCCATCCAAGTCATAGCCTAAAACCACAAATGACGGCATTTCTCTGTCAGATTTTTTTTCCACGTTTTCTTTCTTTCTTTTTTTTTTTGTCCTCTACGAAAAAGTTTAAGCTTCTGCAATGTGGGGTTCAAGGCTTCAAACACACAAAGGAGGATTTTTGTTTTAACTTTTGCGGTAATTTTATTTTCTACCAACTATGTTTTTATTTATAAAGCACACAATGCTACTGGCACAAGCAGTTTTGGTACAAATAATAATAATAATAATAATAATAATAATAATAATAATAATAATAATAATAATAATAATAATAATAGTCATTCAATATTTTATTTACATGTTGTTTAATTTTATTTAGATCTTCTTCAAAAATGTAAATATAATGTACAAATATGCACTTTCATTAAAATGCTTTTTCTAGGTTAAGTTCGATGCGTTTTTAATTAAACATTTTAATATATTTCAATTTTGAATCTTAAAATGTCTAGTCTTATAAAAACGTGCACTTTCGCTAGAAATCTTATTACAAAAACAATTTCAAAAACAAAAAGAAAAAAAAGAAGAAAGACGGAAAAGGACATGTTTAACAGGATGATTTATAATTATTTGCAAATTTATCGTGTGGCCCTTTGCGCTGTTATAACGTAATTTGTTTTATATGCTTCCCATAGGTTACAGAACTTCAGTTCCACAAACAAACAAACAAACAAACAAACAAACAAAAAACTGCACGTTTCTGCAACTACACCTATAAATCTGGCCTTTACTTTTTATTTTAATTCCTGTGCGAACATATTGGGCCTCCGCCATGCAATTAAATTATATATATATATATATAGGGTTTACGCAGTAGTTGAGTTAACAGACATGTGTTTTTTTTCTTCTTCTTCTTCTTTCAATAATTTATAACCTATTCAGTATTTGTGTTTCTCTTTATTCTGGAGGTTTAAGCGGAAAGGAAAGGAAATGCCACTGATTTGTGCGGAGATTATCAGGGTTTTTTTGTGTGTGTGTGTTTTTTTTCTTTCTTTTTTTAACGTGAGTGTTTCTATAGATGGAGAGGATTTTAATATTAATAGTTTCTTCCCTCTCCTTTCTCTTCCCTCTCTTCCTCCCCTCCATCCCCGCCGCCTCCTCCCCGAAGAGACAGAAGGTAGATTGCCTCTGCTGCTTTCCTTTTGCCGATTCGGTGTGACAGGGATGATGGATGATCCAGCCGAGCTAAACAACTCCTCCCCTTCATCTCCTCCCTGTCAAAGCCAGTCCGGGCTGCTGCTGCGGGAATAAAACAGGGAATATATTCCCTCTGCTCTGCTGCACAATGCAACCTCTCTGCGCTCCTTCTTGTCCCTCTTCTTCTTCTTCTACTTCTTCTTCTTCCACTGTCGCCGCAACAATATTAAAAGTCCACACAACGTGCTGCTGCAACATGTTAATAATGACGCTCACGTTATTGCCTTTTTTCCTCCGCAGAGAGAGCGAACAGAAGGCTGTTTATCTGTGTATTTTTGGACACATAAGTGCATTTTTTTTTGAGCGAGAGGAGGACATAAATTTCTTCTCTCTCTCTCTTAAATCGCTGATTTGGTGGTGATCTGAGCGTCCTGCACCGCGCAGCTGCTTCTCCCCCAAAAATGGCTTGCTCAAGGGGGACAGTTTTCAGCTTCTGTGTATGCATGCACTCTGTTATGTGTTGTCCTCGTTTTTTCCCCTCTTTCTTTCTTTCGTTCTTTTTTTTTTTTTTTTTTTTTTTAACATTTCAGCAGTTTTCGCTCCTCTCGCCATAAGGTGTTTCTATGACTACGTTATGTAGGCCTGCGTGAGCGGGTCAAAGGCGGGGGTCCCTGGGAGAAAAGGGCCGCATTGGGCTGATCATTTATCAATGTCAACCACATAATGATTCTCCCTGCAGTCCCCCTATTGATGAGGATAATTACATTAGCTCAGAGTGACTGATCAATAAAGCCCGGGGAAAATTGTTTATTATAGCAGCACCGAAAAGGCTTTCTAAGAAGGAAGTTTTTTTTTTTTTTTTGACTTTCTTTTCTTTTGGCTTTTAATAAGAAGCAGGGCTGAGTTATGCAAATCAAAGACAAAACATGAGGGAGAAAAAAATAAATAAAAATTCAAACGGATACATTTTGTGAATTTGGCTAGAATTTTTTTTCTCCCTCCCCTAGTGTTCTACTTCTCTTACTTCTCTTTATTATACCACACACACACACACAAACACATATATATATATGTATTAAAACAGCATCTTACCTTGGAACTTTTTCTTTCTTTAACGGAAACAAAATGCTTTTTGTTGTGTGTTTTTTTTCTTTTTCAAAATAGGACAAAAGGCTGATTTCACATCACGATATGAGGGGAAATAAATCAACTGGGTAAATTAGATAAAGTTTGTGAGGTTTGCTTTGAGGCTCTCAAATGTTTATCCAAAGGAGAAAAATAATGAATTAGACGTGCAATGGACCATTTTACTTATCAGCCTGAGGAAAATGTCCCTTGTTGGTATTTTTTCAAGTGGTTGGTGGATGGAGGAGTATAAATCCTCATCTTGTGCGATTATGAATGGAAGCCAACTCAAAAAAAAAATAGAAGAAGCAGTGAGAAATGTTAGAAATGTTAACCGCAGCAATGTTTAGCTTATTTATTTATTTATTCATTTTTATTAAAATATAATTTTCTTTGTTTCTCTTCTAAATGAGAAATAACACGTGATCATAAGGAAGCAACGGCTGGAGTATAGAATATCAAAATCATCAAATTAAACCAGACCACAAAAAATAAAAATAAAATTGATTTCTCACTTTTTTTCCCCCAATCCCATAAAGGCTGTAGCACTCTACTTGAATCCCTTAGGGTGTGTGTGTGTGTGTGTGTGTGTGTGTGTGTGTGTGTGTGTGTGTGTGTGTGTGTGTGTGTGTGTTGTGTGTGTGTGCGTGTGTGTGTGTGTGTGTGTGTGTGTGTGTGTGGGTGTGTTAATCGTCAACAACTTGCACCCTGCAGGAATGTTGCAAACTCTTTCGCCTTAATTCTCCGCGGTGCCCCGCGCCAGCCCCCATTTACCACTGATGAGCGCGTCTGCAGGAGACAGCTCCATTATCTATTTATCATTTATGATTATATATATTTTTTTTCCTTCCTCAGACAATGGAGGGAGAAACACGCGTTCACTTGAACGCATGCATGCGTCCATGCGCAGCCGACACTAATTTCTCTCCTCTGGCCTTTTGCAATAGCATTTTATAATCCTTTTTTTTTAACGCAAATTTATCCATATTTTCATTTCCAAGAAGAAACTCTTCAATACCGAGGCTCAATATAAAGTGATTAAAGTATTGCTAACATTGGTGAAAACTGAAAAATCTCCGTTAGGAAAGAGGGAAACATTTACAGTTGAAATGAAAAAGGCCTTTTGTTATTATAATTATTATTATTGTTATTATTATTATTATTATTATTATTATTATTATTATTATTATTATTGTTATTATCATTTATTATTATTATTTATCCTTCAGTTTCAGTAACTGCACCGTCCTTTGCGGACATCAAGACCTAAAAAAAACCCTTAAATTCCTAATGATGCTAAAAAATATAATTAATCAAATAACATGGCTTCAAGGATTTAGAGTTGGACGCTTGAGATTGCGGCGGCCAGTCCTGAAGCTGCAGAAGAAGGAGGGGAAAAAAAGAGGGGCAGAATAAATAAAGCGCAATAAAAAAAGGGAAATAGCCGGAGTTTAGTCAAGCCTTGAGGTATTCAAAGCGTTATTTCAATCAGTTAAGATTTAATTAGGCGAGCCCCGGGCCCACATTTTCTCATTACGTTGCCTTTTTCCCAGCGCCTTGTTACAATGGCCTCCAGCTCGTCAATGTTTGAGGGCTTTTTTTTCCTTTTTTCTTCCGCTGAAATAATCGCGCTTTATGTGGCCGGAGAAGACCCCCCCCCCCCCCCCCCACACACACACACACCCCACACACCCAAACAAATCCAACATTATTCCCATTAGGAGACAGTTGCAGAGGCGAATATATCGATCCCTCTAATTTACGATTTGTGTTCCTGTAAGTTGATTTTCTTATTCTTGAATTTACCTGGGTTATTTTAGTGTATTTTATGATTTTTCTTTTGAGAGCTCTGAGAAAAGAAAGTGGAAATATCTTGCGGGTAGCCGAGGGCAGCAAAGTGAGACATTTCACACGGACTGTAAATAACAGGAGAGGACTGAGAGGCTGAGGGACCCGCTCACACTCTGTGGATTTCAGAAAGAGAGAGAGAGAAAAAACATATATATATATGTTTAAATAGGCCTATATAAAACCCGCTCCAGGCTGTTGATTAATGCGCACATTTGTGAAGGCGCGATGCGCGCCTCAGATTCATTAATTAATAATTCCGATATGATGTTGCTGAAGACAGAGAGAGGGAGAGACCCCCTCCTCCTCCTTAACGCACCCATGGGCGCCCTGCTTTTACATGATGGCGACCCCTTCTGGAGATCAGACTCCATTTGTTTACAGAAAAGAACAAAATCAAGAAGGTAATCACGTTTGAACCCCGGTAAATTCATTCATTTCTAACGTACTTTTTTTTTCCTTCTTCCCTCTCCACTTTCCGAGGCGACGACTGCAGCGAACGAGACCCATCGCTTCATATTTACTCACAGGTATAAACCTCCTTATGCATGCGTTAGGAGTCCGGGTTGATGGCGAAATCAATAGAGACGGATTGTGGGGTCAATATTATGCTGCGCACCGGGGGGGGGGGGAACTTGTTGCGCCAACGCCCCCCCTTTTTTCTCTCTCTCTCTGCGCGTGTGCGGTGAGACGGAGAAGGAATGAGCAATTAATAAGACAGAACCGCAGCATCTCACCCGAATCTCACTGTTTAGACCGAGGAGACGTGAAACAGAGAGAGAGAGAGAGAGAGAGAGAGAGGGGGCCTAAAAGGGCCCGACTTACTCTGCTGCCATCATTAATCACAGCCCACTTGAAGATTCTGACTCAAAGTATAGAACCGGTAACCATTATCGTCTCGGGTAGCAGTTGAAACCGCTCCTTATTTTTCAAAACAGTGCAAGGGCATACAGGTCCATGCTGGAAAAAGAAAAGAAAAAGAGAAGACGAAGACAAGCCAAGCAAAAGACTTCTGTCAGAGGGATGGAGACACAGGTGACCCATTGTAACAACATACTGGTCTGATTGCCTCAGAGCAAAAATAATACATAAAATAATCTGTCTTTGAATTAATTATATAGTAATGACTCATTTTGTGTGTTTTCTGCGTTGAATTTCAAAAATAGTAAATGAAGAAATATATCTAAAAAAAAGTAAAGTAAAAAGTAAAGCCTGTTTGATTTATTTGAAAACTTTTCTACATTTGTTTCTCAATAATCCACTTATATGTGATTACATATTTGTGATGACTTCATTCATTTGTTTATTATTCAGTGTTTTGAATGTGTCCTCCGCAGGTGCTTTAAGGCTCAGTCGACTTGATGATGTGGAGAGGAAAAGGGAGAGAGAGAGAGAGAGAGAGAGAGAGAGAGAGAGAGAGAGAGAGAGAGAGAGAGAGGACAGCCCTGTGTCCCTGTTAGCAATGGAAGCTTCAGTGATGAAAACCAAGAACCGGTGTCAAGAACTTTTTTAGCACATCACTACAGCTGCTGGGAATAAATAGCAGCCAACTGAAGAGCATTAGGAGGAAGGGAAGCTGTGACGTCAGACTATTTGGTTGCCTCTACACAATAAAAGCCTGGTGTGTACCGAACTCACAAGTCCAAGTTTGTTTCTCAACAGGGGGATGTAAAATGTTGTCAATACTCTGATAGCCTTCATCTGCCAGTAATGACAGGCAGTCGGCTCACTATCTTATCTGCAGGCCAGGTAGGGCCATACCTGGGGGGGAATAACTGCTGCGATAAAGAGCGTCCTGGCCAATGGGAAGCCTCTTGTCTGTCTGCGAGGAGTTAATGGAGAACGCCACTGGAGACAGGAAGTCCTCAGAAAGTGAAAAGCACTTTATTGCGCACCTGAATAGCCCGGCATAGAGTTTCTCCTCAAACCCAATGGGAAAACCACATTACAGTTCCCATACACAGGGTCATTACAACCTTGCAATGCAGTTCAAGTGATCCATTCCATTTGAATGACAACATCCCATCGCTTCCATTCACTCTTTCCTGTTTTCCGTGACCGGGTGATGATCCCTGTGGGATTGAGATGTCGTCACTAAAGTGATGGCCTGAGGTCACAGAACGGCGGGATTCAAAGCTTCTCTTGAAGTTGGCTTAAAACAAAATGCTGTGTCATCAGTTTGCCACTAACCGACAGCGATTGTTGCTTTCATGCAGCAACAGGTTAACGGAGCAACAATCCACCCTCCAGCAACATGACTTCACCAGGACTGCAAAAATGAGCCGTGGTATTGATCCCCTTCATGCTGACCCCCTACCAGCCGCATGCAGGACTACCTGGGACCAAACATGTAAGAACACGGTGGGACTGCAGCAACGTTCAAGAAACACAGTTTAGTGTTTCAAGTTGAAAACAAGCTGTATATTTCACAATATGTCCCATTCTTCCTCATGCTAAAAAAATCTTTGTGGCAATCAACGAACGGAAATCTAAAAATATATACTCAAAGAACTATTCACATAAAACCACTACTCTAATCCTCTGATTCCCATAATATTTTGCTACCAGTGGCAACAAGTGAATAAAGAACAGTCACATCACCTCTTTCAAATATGTCCACAATTAAGTTGAGTCCACATGCTACAGAAGTCCTCTGATCTGTGCGATACGATTGCAAAGCTGGATTTATGGCAATAGCAGACATAATCGCAAGGTTTGTTTTGACAAATAGAAGCATGATTTTGACTGAGTGTAGGGCTAGCTCAGTGTGCAGAGCCAACCCTGCTATTATCATCTGGATTAGCTGCTCTGATTATCAATCACAATGTGGCTCATGCATTCCACAACACATACAGTAATCTCAGTATTAAAAAAAATCTGGTTCTTGAAGGCCTCTGCTATAGAACATCAGTGACCAAGCTGCATCAGGCAGAGGTTAGAAAATTTCACAAGCTTTGAGTATCTCATCAAAAAAAAAAAGAAAAAAAAAAAAGGAGCACATAGGACAAACCAACCAAAACATGGCGGTTTATGTAAACAGAGGCTGTGTAGGGAGTGCATTAGTTAGAGAAATAACCAAGAGGCCCATGGTAAGTTTGGAGGAGCCATAGAAGTCCACAGCTCAGAGAGAATGTGGCGACCATAAAAAACAAAACAAAAAAAACAAAAAAAAAACAGATTTAAACCAGGGTTTCAGGAAAACAGTGAAGCTGGTCGGAGTTGATGGGAAGATGGATGGAGCTAAATACGGGGCAACACTGAAGAAAACCGAGAGCTTCGGACCGATTCAACTGATCTAATGAACACAGTGAAGTGTAAAGTTTGGAGACTCAGCAGACCAGTTGGACTCAGGGCAAAGGATGAGCCAAAATTAGTTTGCACTTGAATTTTGTCTCCTGCCACTTGAAAACCATTTCATCTCCGTTTTCCTCTAAATGTCACGATGCGGTCTCAGTGCCGTCTCTCGCTCCTCTGCCCTGCTGGCTCATACCTGATCCTGTGCATGTTACCAAGCCTTCCTGGCAGCAGGCGATGGCGGGTTTTCTAGGTCACACACCAAATGCCACCAGGGGGGTTGACCTTTCTGCTGGTCAATGCTAAAGCAGGAACTTTCCAACCACAAATGCTCAATATTCCTCCATCCATTTATTGAGATAAATGCTGCAAGAGTGTAGTGTTTTTTTTTTTTTTTTTTTTTTTTTACATTTTACCATGACAGAAAGTGTTTTTGGTATCAAATTGGAGTTTTGCTCTCCTGGATTATCTATTAGCAGGAATAGTCACAGTGCGTCTCTTGAACACTCCTTATGTCAAGATGTTTATTTCAACCAGAAAACTACTTTTTACTTGAAGCTCACTCAAATGACTGTTCACTCGAAACTGTCAAATATGGGTTATTTCAATGTGGAGGTCCCGAGTTCATGTGATGCAATGTCAAATCAACATAACAACTATTGTTTCGGGGGTATTTACATTACAGATTTCATTTCTTCATTTTTAGGCTCTTAGTGATTACAGTGCTTGCTAGGCCCAGCCACTGAGTCAGTGGAAAGTAAACTCTCTTCCCTTTCCCTCCCCCCTGCTATTCTGAGTGGATTTATGTGTCATAGTTGTTCAGTTTAATTTAAACATACTGTCTGTCCTCCACCCTGTCAATCAAACCTTCACTGCTTAGCCATTTAAAATTAGCCCCAAGTTCCCCCCCTCCCCTCCATCCTATTTTCAAAATCTTTCTCACGATCTATTGTTGTTTTTGAAGAGCGGGCTCTGACTGCGGGATAAAGCCTCCTAAAAATAAAAACGAAAACGCTTTGCATCTCTTTCAACTCTGAGCAAAGACTTCTTTTTTCCCCTCTGCTGTTATTCCATCCAGCAAAAAAAGGGAGAAAAAAAAAAAGAACATTTTTTTAATTTCAATTTGGCTCCGACTCTTTGTGGAGAACTTTTATTTATTTTCACTCTGTGATGTCTCGCTGGCTTGGAGAGGCTGAGAGGATCCCTACTAAAAACACTGTGCTGCCTGAGGCAGGAACAGGCCAGAGATCTATCCACATAAATAACAGGAGCGTGGAGGCAGCCCATTTGGTGGTCTGCTGCAGGGATAGAACCAACCCTTCAGTCTGTAGTTCGGTCCTTCTCTTCTCATGCTCAGTGTCTCAGAGGTCTAACAGCTTGACCGTAGAGGCATAAAACAGCAGGATCTAGAGGAGATTGAGCCAAGTTGTACATCTGAGTGGAGAGCAGACTTCCAATAGCCTGCAGGCGTAGGCCAAACAGAGTGAATGCTGTGGACAGCATCAAACTAATCTGACACATGGGAGGTAGAGATTTAAGAATTTGAGAGGGAAAAAAAAAATTGAAACATGTTGGTGCAGGAGACTGTTTGTTCAATTGCAATATTATTACATGCATTCATTTTTGTTTTTTTCACTCACACATAGATGATTTAGACAAGCTCGTAGACGTTTGTGTTCAGAATAATAGTCTAATGTCACTAACCAGATCAGTTACTGGTTTTCTACATGGCAAACAATTTATGAGAAGGTGCAGTGGAGTAGGAGAAAACTAACAGATGCAACAATCATGATATGGATGCTGTTAATTTACTGATAGAAACGGATGTGTCATTAGAGGACAAAGGCAGCAAATATTATGGAATATGGTCATGGCGAGTTTCTCTGAAAATCTAGAGTAAAATATGCCAATCTAGAAACTGCCACCTTTTTGAATCTGAGGTTCCACCTCCCGGCAGCTCTTCCCCTATTGGTGGAACCGAGCATCTGCTGAGCTTATCACAGGACCTTCTTCTCAGTCCATTGCTCCTAAAAACAGTTGTAAACAGTATAATGGAGGAGAATTGTTGTGATGACATGCTGAAAGCAGTGTCAGCGAGAGCAGGGGATTCTTAAGCACGCAGAGGCCAATCAAAAGGTCAGGTTTCTTTTATGTTCTATATGTACAGCGTATTTGTAATTGAAGGTAAAAGTTACTTGATCGTGCTATAAAATGGCTATGTGTCCATAAGCTCCTATAAGACACAGTGAATAGGTTAATTTAATCATGGATTGATTAAAGTAAGATTGTGGTGGATGTTTTTTTTTTTATATCAAAGCATGACATTTATGTGTTTTATGCCTCTTAGTGCATCACAATGTCTGAAGAAGAGCATTAGAGGAGCCCTTTTTTTTTTTTTTGAAAAAGTCGTTTAAAAAAAAGATGACAACCAGCATCTTGGTTCCAGACAGGATAAGCCAACCCAATCCAAGAACATTTATCCAACAAAGAATCCGTAAGGTCACATCAAACATGCCGCTTCTGATGCAGAACCGAGAAATGCGGAGGAACTGTGGAATGTAGTTCTGGGCTGGAAAAACTTTTTCATGGTGCCTGAAGGTGGTCCATGAAACAGATGTGAAATAGTGGTGATATGACTAAATATGAGGCTCGGTGATTCATAGAAAGGCTTAATCATTTTATTTAGTAAATTTATGGATTTATAAAGTGCACAAACAGCATTTTTCTTTCAACAGTTTTCTCTTTGTGATATAATTTACATTAGCATACCATGTTCCTGATAAATTTGAGTGTATGGAGATAAAAAATAATAATAAAAGGAATATTTAAGCTTTACTTTCTATTTTAGGGACAAGACAATAATTTCGAACAAATCTTCATCCAAGTTTTGTTCTCTCTGGATGCTTTCTTCAGATCAACTTTCTCCAGATCCAGGGTGTTTTCATGCTCCAGGAAGCAGCCTCTCCAAACCGACCTTACTTGGAAAGCGCCTAAGAGAGTTATTCTTATTGTTGTGACAGGAACAATGAATCTAAAAGTGGTAGGAGTCAGGGGGCAAAGGAAAACAAAACACAAAAAACACACACATCTGGCTCTTAAAAATAATTACATGGAATCTATTTATTTCTATATTTGCATTGACATCATGGAAATCTTGTCAGCTGACTTTGATGCCGGCACTTGCCTTTGATGTAGGTTTTAAAAAAAGCTGTATTTAATGTGCACAGACTAATTTATAGGAGCTGACCCTAGCTATTCTTTGTTGCCACAGCCATCTTGGA